AGAGGAAGAAACGAAAAAGGAACACTAAGGAAAGCTCTTACATCACCACCTGTTTTATCCAGAGCACCAAAGGCTTTCTGGGCTTGTGAACACACTTGACAACTGGTGTCAGCAGGACTACTAGTGTGGGAGAGGCTACATCATACTCATCATTCCCCTGGCTCTGCTTGTCCTCGTCATGTTTCCCAGACACAAAGGAGTTGTTTCTTATGCACAATCCTCTGTTTAAGAGGGAGTCACTGCTTGGTACTCAAATTTTTAATAGTGGTTCCTGTAATTAGGGGTTATTAGGACCTGAGGTCTGAAATGTGACAACTGGTACCAATCTCATTGTTTGTACACAAGAGAGGCTGGCAAATCACTGAAAGGATTCACATTACCACTCAGCCAGCTTCAGATACCCCACTAAAGTTTAAGATATAGATGGGGAGAAAGCAAACTGCAGTTTGAGAAAGTACTTTGCTAATTTTTTTATCATCTGCATTTTTATTGTTCTTTACAGCTTTGTGGCCATCAAACAACGTTCAACCACTGGCTCCCTTCAGATTCTGACTGAGTGACAGTCATCTTTTGGTTGTTATCAACTCTCTAAGCTACCGAAGTGGAAGGTTTGCCAAGCATTAGTCCCCACACTTACCAACATTACCGAAAGCATATAATTTGTATTTCCATTTCACAGCATGCCCCGGCCTCTCAGTCACTAAGCTCACCCAGAAAAAGCAACTTTCCTTGTTACTTCTGCAGTACCTCATCTTGTAGAGTATGTGCATTGGCTATTGCACACTAGCAGTCCTCAGAACATTCTGCTTTCTGCTGGGCTAATTAGCAATTGCACAGAGGGACAACAACAAAGGTTAGAAATGAAAAGTGTTTCTAGACACACCATTCAGTATGGAAGGGGAAAACAGAGGATCAGTTTTCCATTAGTTCCTTCCTGTCTGTTCATTCAGAAACCTCAGGGCATTTCTGTGACTTTGGCTGATGAAACAGGGGGCTGCGAGCCACATAGAACGTGCACACAGTGATCAGCAGGACACACCAGCTCTCCCAAGTGCTACAGAAGATGTAATCAGCACAGCCAAATAACGTCACATAAAAGACCCTTAAATACGGAAATACCATCGTAAAAAGATGTAAGATTAAGACACTTTTAGTAATTCCTACAATAAAACACTCCTGAACAGATATTCGTGCCCTTGACTTCTGAGAAATTGTCCCACTCTCCCTGGACAGTCCTGCAACAGAGCTCACAGGACTAAGACTCAAGAGCCAATGCTGGTATTTCAGCTCACACCACCAGGATGTGCTGCTCTTGTAACGTGCTAAGAACAGGTAAGCACAGCACACTACTCCTACAGGCTTTGTGGAGGTGTAGGGACACCGATACCAGGCAGTAGTCACCTTGTTACCTCAGCTTTAATCTGGGTTGGAAAGGAACCTCATACAATACAGCAACTAGAATGTGATGATGTCAGATAAATCCAAACATGAGTCAAAAGTCTAGCATGCCTCAAAAGAATGTGTTTGCTTACACACTAATTGAACTAACAATGATTAAGTGGCTTCCAAGGTCCTGGACTAAGAAAAGGGAAGTTAAAAGCCCTTCAGTAACTGAAATAATCTGGAGGCAAATCAGAGGCAGCTTCAGTTCAAGCAGGGATGCAGCAAGAAGTTGGTTATTCACTATGCAACCCCATCTTCTGAGGAGGTTGCTGCCACCCAGTTCCTCTCCACACACACTTGCCATCTTTCCTCAGCTCCGTGCTTCACTTTCAGTAGCAGAAGTAATGCAACAACAGATGACTTCTACTTAAATCAACTGCGGAATAAGATTTTAGGGAAAGGGTATTTCTGCAGTAAGATAGTAAGCTGCTCAACAAAATAAGCACACACATAATTTCAGTGGTGAAGGCTGCAAAAAATGAAACTTTATTCTAAGTAAAGGAGTCCTCTTTTAATACATTTATTGGTCCATTCCATTAAATTAATTGAGGTAAACAGACGGTGCATTTTAAAAAAATGTACACACTAATAGAGAATTACAAACAGTTTTACCTCAAAGTGTTTTTCTCCATCAATACTAGTTCCATAGTAAACAATGCACAAAGTATATTTATACAGAGATATATGAAAGGGTATAGAAACATGCCAGCACCAGAAGGCAAGACAACATTTCCTAGCCTGCGAGTCTGAACAAGAGCACAGTTACCAGATTTGGTCAACTGCAGGAAACAAAAGCCTCCTTCCCCTTTTTACATAGTTTACTAGCTAATTCACACAGAGACAAGTCTTTTCACAGCTTTCATTTTGTTTTTAAATGGTATGAACAGTGACTCTAGTTCTGGTGAGTGGATTTACAGAGGTTGAAACCAGAAGAGTCTGGATAATGAGCCAGCACCATTTTGGTCCCCACCACTGACCCCTTCAACACAATGTGTGAGGCTCATAGCCAGCTTACTTTAAACTGCATGGCCCAACTCTCCAGACCTTAAGGAGGGACAGACGGATGTAGGCACAGAGGAAATGAGAACAAGGACGGTGCTTCTCTATTTTTGTGTACTACAGACAAAAGCCCTTTGGCTCTTTGTTATTACAGGACTGTCAGCAACCTGCCTCCCTGTGCAGTGGGAATGTGGCACTGGCCCCAACCCTGCTGTTTGATCTGAGGGTATGGATACATCTCAGCAGCAGCAGAGTTAAGGAAACGGTTTAGCTTCAAAGCATATAGTACCAAGACCTTCAAAGTAGTGTAGGACAGTGACCAGCCTTTATTGTTTCAGCATGCCTCTTATATAAGGCTGATCTACGTCTACCTCTTTGGAAAGTGCATTATTTTCTGCACAAATACTGTGCCCTAGGCATGCAACCTTAAAACTTATCCAGTTCATTACTAAGTATTTGTACGAGTCAGACACCTCAGCAAGACTTCAAAGTGCTAAGCACAGAATTAAGCACTGCCACTTTAGTCTGTAAAGTTGGTTAAACAGCACTCCCAAAAACTTTTAAACATTCAGTCTGCCAGAAGGCAAGTTGATTCCTGTGATCCCCAGTTTTACTTCACAAAACAAACAAACAAAAATAATCTCAAAGTAGTAGCAACTCCCCTATCTTAAAAAAAAGTCCCTACTTTCCCTACATATTGGTTATTGTAGTAAAAGTTAATATACCAGAGGAAAAACTGTTCTACCTTGAGAATTTAAGATGACTGAACATCTAATGAGCTAATTTACTCTATGCAATTTTGCTCAGGGGTTATCAGCACCAGGATTTTAAACAGTATGCAACATTAATCATAACCATATACAGTTAAATTATACAAGTTTTAACAAAATCATGGCTCCTGTTAAAACACTGAACAGTCCCTGCTGGTCTGGGAGGGGATTCTTTTGTATGTTGGCATCTGCAGGACACCTGAAGCAACATGCATCATGAACAGGCTATGCAGAGTCACTGCTGCAAGGCTACTGCACAGTACCTCCACTGAACTGTCTCTGCCGCTCATGCTTCATGGATATTTTTTCTACCACTTATCACACTACTTTATCCTTAGAACAAGCATTAGTGCAACAAAAATCCAAGCAGACTTCAGTGAAGAATCCATAGTTTATTCCTTAATACAATTCGCATCAGAATAGTTTGTGTCTTTAGGGCTACACCTTTTCATTTTTCAATGTGTACCTGAAAAAGCCATGGTGTTTTAACATCTATATTTATTGCAAGATTTAGAGCCTGGTAAAGATATACATGAACAATGCATGGTCCATAACTGAGCACAGAAACAAGTGCTTTATTGTGCTGGTGCCACTTAAGAGAAGAAACAAACATCCCCAAAAATAACCAGGACAGCAGCGAATTAGTATCCTCCAAGAGGGACCCTGGCCTGGCTATGGACTGAGAGGACAGCTGGGCTGATTTAAGGACTGCTGAAGAAACCATGTGTTACAAAGGCTCACAACAAGGGTGCCAACTACTTTTGATGTCATTTTGGTGCATATGCAGAGCGTGATCTAAGTGACTTAACACTCAAGAAGTTACTCAAAGATGAAGCTTCCGCACTACTCCTGCTTCCCTTTACCAAGACCTTTTACTTATCTCATGAAAGTTTGGGCCATCCAAAGTAAAGACTCATATCCTGTAATAATTACAGGATAACATGTCACGAGTTTCTCTAGCAGTTCAGGTCTCAACCTCCCACTAGCAGCAGTTATGTGAGGCTTTACAAGTATTACTCTGTACATCTTAGAGGAATTTCTTGTAACTTTTGTAGTTCTCCCGACTGGCATGTTTGGCTGCCCCAAATATCACAGTCAGGAATCCTCCACACACCTCACAGCCTCTCCCACAGTTACCTTGTGATTTAACAACAGCTCTTCATAAAAAGACACCACTCCATAGCTCATAGGAGCTGAGACTCACCACTACACACCATTCTTACACTGTGGCGATTCTTGCAGAGGACTTCTCTTTTGAACGTGAAGTTTTACTTTCCTTGTATAGGCTTAAGAGATGTTTTAGTGTTTCAGACCATGTAATATATCCTGTTAGTGGCCATGCATGCCTGACATGCACATTCCAGCCTCTTCTCCAAATCAACCTGCAGTTGCCACAGCGCCACATACTCCGAGAAGTGCAAAGTGTGCCTGCCTTTCCAGCAGCATAGCCAGAAAGGGATTTGTCTGAAATCAAAACATGCTTTGGATGAGGACAAGTCTAAAAACCATACCACAATATCGGTGGCATCAGATGGAATAAAATTCAAGCTGATGTTCAACATCTCCAGCCTCAACAGTTACATGTTGATTTCAACTTCACTTGGTACTCTCCACATCCATTATGCTTCTCATGCACAGCTTTGATGTTAATTGCTAAACCCCCCAGAACCAACACCCACTTCAGTCTGACATAAAACTAAGTGGGAATAGGACCTCAGTCTTGTAAGGCATCAGATGAAACCACTTGTAGGAAAAACCCACCAATCTTTCTACTCATCTTTTGCTGCCTTTTTTTTTTTTTAATAAGATGGAGGGAACACTGACTAAGTATTAGTTCAAATTATATTTTGCTTGACTCCCAGTGATGTTGTAGAGTCAACTACAAAATTCCATTTACCACGCAGGAAACAACTCCAAAATTATGTTGATCTCTGTTTGTGGAGAACAGGTAAGACCGTAACCCTGAAGGTCAGACTCTTAGATAGTATGCAAGTGCTTATTCTAGAAGGAAAGACTGCTTCAAGATGATCCCCCTAAGTACTTCCCTTGCACAACAAGAGTAGTCTGTTATTCTGAACCTAACAATAACTTAATGCAGAATTCTCATTTACACCACATAAGTGTACAGACAAACTGAGTTTAAAACAAGAAGCATAGTTTGTTTAGTACCAGAGAGTTGTCAGTGAAGGCTGAATCAAAAAGGAAGACCTCTTAAAATGTCTTAAACTTGACTTTTTCATTCAGAGAGCACCACCTCATTAGCCTGAGAGCTACCACAGTACTGCAATAACTCATCTTGAGTTGCTATAAAGCCAACAAGCTGAGTAGGCTGCAGGTTCACTTGGTGTTTATGAAGGGACAAATTCCAAAACAGACAAATTCCAAACCCGATAGGTTGTCACAGGAGAACACAGAATTTGGACATTCTCAATTACTGCTCAGGTTCTTTGCAAGAATGTTAACAGAGATCAAGTAATCACTAAAATTTAGCAGTAAGCACTGAGTTATTTATTCCCTCAAATCCAAATATTACACTGATACAAGCCCCAAACCCCACCCTTAGGATGGTTAAAAAAGATTTATTTGCATGCTGTTAAATCAAGACTCTAGGACCATGGGAATCACATCAGCATTCCTAAGGCCACCAACACCGAATCGGCATTTACTTGAGGTTGGACTGCAAGAGAAAGAAGAAAAAAAGGGACTTGCAGAAGCAGTTACATTTCTAAAGGCCAATAAAAACTACTAAGAAAATAGATCTGTAACGAAAGTAGTCTCTTAAAAGACTTGCCATGTGGTTCAGCAGAGACAGGTGTGAACACTCTGTACCTACCAGGGTACCCATCTACCTCCCACCAAGCCATTTAAGGCAAGTTTCACACACGCTGATGCTTAGTGGAAGCAAACATCTGACACTTTTTGGCTGCTGCAAAAAAAACACACAGGGAGAGGAAGCAGAGTCCTACCTTTATTACAGCAGGCATCTTAAGTGACCAAGCCTGAAGAGGCTCTAGTAAAACCCATATTTAAAGCATGGTCCAAGAGAATTGCACCGTGCAACTTCTGGAGCTAGCTTTAGAAAAGTTAAAGACTCATACTTCCTCCACTATTCCCATAAAAGGGGCCCTTGAAAGGCTGCTGTTCAGCTCATTCCTGCAGCTAGGCTGATTCCAATCCCCAAGTCAGTCACAAGTACACTTCAGCCAACTGACATTACTTCATAATCACCAAGGTAAACAACGATACTCAGTAGGAACCAACAGCATGCCACACTCACAAAAACCACAGTTCATGCTCGCACCACAGGCTATCTGTGGGTGGTGGTGGTATGTTCTAAGACCAGACCAACTCCCAAACAGAAAAGTCTCCAGAGACCATTTTATTCAGAGGGAGCATATGGGCTGCAGTGAAACAGAAAATATTCTTTCCCAGCCTTTCCCTGTCTATTCAAAAAAAAAAAAAAAAAAAGATAAGGATTGGTTAGGGAGTACAGTATCATAGAAATAATTATTATTTTTTTTTTAGCAAACAAAACAGAATGGTAATAAAGATGTCATATGGCACCTTGCAGTAGAGTTTTATTTTCATCTTTTTAGTGCTCCACTCATCAGTTCCTTCCAGACTAGAGAGGTAAGTTTTATCAAGATCCCCATGCATTTTCACTATGAAACCCCAATCACTCCTTAGGATAAAGAAGGAACCATTCAAGATAACTCAAAAAGATGAAACATACCCCAGTTTAAACACAAAAATTGAGGAAAAAAAATTCAAATAGTTTTCAGAGCGTCTGTTCCAGCCTAAGTGCAGCTGTCATTTCAGTTAACTTGACAAAAAAGAGTCCTTCATACAGTTCCAGTATGTCTAGTGGTACTGAGCATAGAAGTGCTAGACTGTCCATGAAGGTACTTCTTATTTGGTCTCTGGCTTGTCTTGCAATAGTGGTATAATTGACTCCCACGCCGTAAGGCACTGAAGAAAGAAATACAAGAACTGATGTAAAACCCATTTGTTAAATCTGTAACTTCTGACTAACTCTTCCACATCACCAGAATGCAAGTTGAAGAAAACCTATTGTTTTCTTCACAGATTAGTACAGAAATAAAAAACCCCACCAAAATCTCAAACAACAAAAAAAGGTGTTAGAGTGGCTGCACCTCCCAAACAAATTAAACAAATTCACATTTTCAAAAGTTGTCAGTTGGCCCAAGCCATTAGAAATCATCAGAATACCTGGGATTTCCAAACACCAATCTAGATTCTTCTACACTGAAGAACACCACAGCTTTCAGCTAAACAGACAAACTGTTGCTAGTAGAAATGTACATCTCTGTAGTGTTACTGTGAGGTAGGGCTGATTGGGACACAATGGTAGCTATTACAGACTACCTCCAGCAAACTTATTTGAAAAAAACCCATGCATTTAGAGAAGGTAGTTCTGAGACACAGTGTATTCCAGTACAGCTCTGGGACTTGACTCCACTGAATGACAAACTGGTAGTGCCTAGTATAGTAAACTAGAAGTGGAGTCTAGCTTCTGGGTTATTAGGAAGTCACTCCAGGCTTTGGAGTCATTTGCCCAGACGTGTACTTAACTTCAGTCCTTGTACTGTGTGTCGTTACTATCTTTCAACCTCAAAGCTCAGAAGTCAAACTGATCATGGAATCCCTATTATTAAATGCTGGGAATGGGTAAACTCATCACCAGCTCTTACATCCACAAATTAGTGTTGTGATACATCTTCCTTCTAAACTTTCTGATTGTACTGCAGGTGAGTAATTATTTCTAGTTGTGTACCCTGAAGTGACTACATGCTTTCCTACCAAAAAAGCTTCCTCGCTAAGAGCAAAACTAACAGATTTAAATGTCAATTGCAGAGGCACTGCTGCATGTTCAGAGGAGTCTTTAATATCCTCCTCCACAGCACCTTAGAAGAGACCAGGATGAAGGAAGTTCTGTGGGACTAGTTATGAACTACTGACATGACAGACAATCGAAGGGGAAAAGGTACTGTATACACAGAGAAGTAACCTAGCTTGTTACTAGGAAGAAGCTTGTAAAGTAGATGTGGAAAAAACAAATAGGCAAGATGAAGTATATTGCTATGCATGACGCTAGTAGCATTTAATATGTCCTAAATATTTAATATACCTGAAGTGGGCTTACAAAAGAGCTGGAGAGACTTTTTACAAGGGCTTGTAGTGATAGGACAAGGGGCAATTGCCTTAAACTGAAAGAGGCCAGGTTTAGATTAGATTATTAGGATGAAATTCTTTACTATTAGGATGAGGAAACACTGGAACAGGTTGCCCACAGAAGCTGTGGATGCTCCATGTCTGCAAGTGTTTTACTTCAGGTTGGATGGGCCTCTGGGCCACCTGCTCTACGGGTGCCCCTGCCTATGGCAGAGGGTTGAAACTAGATGGTCCCTTCAAAACCATTTTAGGATTCTATGATATCAACCACTGCATTGGGCTGCACTGCTCCAGCACGCAGGAAAACTAGACTGGCAGTATCTGCAGTTAAATGGGGCCTTGAGGCCCTTTCAGTTAAAAATAAAAAAGTAAAAAAATCTGACACCAAATCTCAGGTACACATGCACCAACTGAAAAAGAGCAGAGGCACCTGGCTAGGTATTTTCAGGACTAGCATACACGGGACTAAACTATGCACAAAGGAACAGAGACTAGAATAATTTATATATACCAAGTGTAATCTATATATGAGTCCATGGATGTGTATTAACTCATGCAGTTTTGTTCATAAAAGGCAGAATTGAGAGATTTTTCTACTCTGGTAGTATTACTAGAACATGCAATTTTGGTCTTTTTCATCACCACTGCTGCTGCTCAGTAATTTGTTCAATTCAAGAGTGCAAAACAGACAAGCATGCATGATGAAATGCTCTTTGAGAGCTGACCACTAGTCCTACAGAGATGACTTTACCATGAACAGTAATTCATTACACTAAGCTGATGACAAAGAGCAGCTTCCATAGCACTAGAGAACTAATTGAGATGTCTAATATTTCTATCTTCAAGACAGTGTGAAGATATCCTGAAGAATCATCACCACCTCATAGGAAAATAAACTTCTCTTATTTTTGCCAATGCTCCAACAGTGACACATACCTTCTCGTAGTACTGGATGTTTTTATCTGCCATCCCCATGAGTAGCTGCCTAAAGTCTTGTCTTTTGTTGTTCTGCCATCTCTCCATATCTGCTTTCAGGTCAGCATTGAAACATTCTACTCGGTCTTGACATTTCTCAACATCTGTGGGTACCTGCAGCAAAAGAAAAGAAGATTAAAACTGTCATTGAGTGCTAGATTGCTGAATTAGCTCAAACCTTACTGAGCAAAACCACAGAAGAAAAGGTAGGTTCACCGGGAGTTACCCTGAATAAACTCAGTTATGGCTGTGGGGAGACAAGCCACATTTCTGAACTAGAGAGGATATGAGATTGCTTGATTTGTTCTTTGCTGTTTGAGGTGGTGAGCATTTGTGCTTTCCATCTCCAGGTCTGATATAGAGGCAAGTGGAGGAAGGACTTGCTAGAAGCACACAAAGAGGAAAAGCATTTGGTGTAAGTGCTGGGTACCTAGGCTCAGTTCCAAGTGCTTAAACTGAGCAGCTTGGCTACAGCTCCACAGAAAACCTTGCTCCTTCCCATTTACAGCTGCACTAGGCATTTCCCAATTTACACCAGTGTGTATAATATAATCAACATTTAGGCTTATCCAGAAAGCTGGATAAGAAATCTAAGTGTTCTCTCTTAGGAACTGAAGAATAAAATTCCTAAGCCTCTAGTTTCTAGCTTCCACTTTTAACCTTACAGGCTGCCTTTCCTAACTGGAAAGCACTAATGATCATCACTCTGGACTGGCTCATATACCTTTGGGCTCAACACTGGGCTCACAATCATACAAAAACAGTGAGAGAAATGTTGAAGGACAGCCTATTGCAAATCAGGTAGAGATTTAAATGGATTATGACAGCAATCGCTGGCCCAAAGTGCATGCACTTTAGGCCAACTAAGATGGTGTTCTTTGCTCATGTTTTAACTAACATCATGTTAGGCAATCATAGGAACAATTTACAAGTGCTTCTTCAAGCAAGAAGCCCATGAACACCTTTTTCTCCCTTCTCCTTATGCTGCATGGTCCACACAGAGGAATCCTGTAAGGACATGCAGACTAAGCCCATGACCTCAGAAGAGGAAACCCCTGCATAGTGGTACCAACACGAGAAGTAAACTTTTGCTCTGAAAGCTGTGACTTGCACAAAGGCAAAAGGCAAAATGAAGAACATTTGCAGAACTTTTTACCTTCAGTAAACTCCTTTTTTCTCTGAAGGGTGTTAAGAGAAGGAAAAAGATGAACAGACTATGTAAGAAGCTTTTCATAGGTAACTACAGGAAGCTAGAGGTGTGCTACTACCTTTCAGTTTGGCAAGGTGGCCCATCTAGGCAGAAACATAACAACCGTGCTTCTCCAGTATGTAAGGGGTGATCACTGAAGTATTACATTGACTCAGAGAAGATCTTACATCTGTTCTCTAATAAAGCTGTTTGAGACACAGGAGTTCTTCATACTCATGGGATTTGAGTTCCCCTTTATTCAAACAACTGAATAGACACTACAGGCAGTTTGGGAGTTAGTAGACAGCCTTTTCTCCCACCCTGTCTGAGCACTGCTGGCTATAGAATTCACACTGCTACAATTCCAGACAAAGTTCTCTCATAAGCTTCAGACAAGAACTACCAAGCCTATGGCTGGAAAATTCAGATGATGCTCGCCTCAAGGCAAGTATGCCTTGCATCTTAAGTACTCTGCTTAATGGGAAAGGTTAGGCTATCAAGAGAAAGGTTCATGAAGTCTGGAAGTCAAACCACGTAAGATTTCCCAATGCAATTAAGTTAGCTTCTAAGCACTCACCAGCTTGCTGCTGCTTCTTCCAAAATCTGAAACCACAATGAAGCTATACAAAAATCTGTTCTTTCTCTCAGCAACTTCTCCTGCAGGTCAGACTGAGAGGGCTGTACGAATTTAGAGCTACAGGGACAACCCAGTGGTCAGCAAATGGGTCACATATGCTCTCATTAAGGAACAACAGCAATTAACTCCATGTAAGTCTCCACAGGCATCCTTGTGATCCTCCTCATCCACTCCACATGAAAGCAGTGTCTGCACAACAGCAGTCCTGTTTAGGAGTGCCTTTCCTTACAAAACTGCGGCTTCCCAGAACATTATTTGCAACTCAGTAGTTGAAACAAAATTTTAAGTTAATCAACAGGTTTTAAACACCTTATAAAATGTTTAAACACTAGTGCAAAGACATCAATGCTGATGGTTTTATCTACTTTTACCAGTAGAGACACTAAATACTAGCTAGCAACTAAGAGCTGGGCAGAAAGTAGACTGGACTTTGGGAACTTGCTACTTTCTTACCGATGTCTCTTCTCAGCTACTGGAATAGCTCAAAAACTCCACAAACCACAAAACCAACATGATAACTGGTTTCAACTCCAACACACTCTTCAATGGCCCATGACTGTTTTAGTGAATCCATTTCAACTTAGGAGAGATGTATATGCAGGCATGAACTGAGTATAAAAGTGTATATTCAGGAGTCTGGTCACCTTACTATATGATAAGAAGTTCTACACATATATCTAATCCTCTTCACATTGATTCTGTTCTCTTAAAAAACTAAGTGTGCCTCACATCTATAATTTTGTGTGGTCATGTACAGATGGCATGTCCACTTTAAAATTCTAGAGGACCAAGTAACAAATCATTCTGAAGCAGAAAAAGTCCAGCATATATTAATATAAAATAATAGCATATGCTATTTCTACTTTCCTCATTCTCTGGAAATAGATAATGTTACAAGGCTTTTTTCCCTCTGTAAATACATATGGTCAACTTCAAGTTCTGCACTGCCAAATTTACTGTTCCCATAGACTAACACACTTCAAACCCTTGAGGCAGACAGAAATTAGGTCATCAGAGGTGAACTTCATCTCACCAAAAGGAAACCACACCTCTCCTTCACTCCTGTCAAGAGACTGAAACAGTTAATGCCTTACAAATTCTAAGATCACCAAAAGACTCTTACAAATTGAAAAGAAGCAGCTGCTCACCCAGCAAAGCCCACTCCTCCCTAAATACTGCCAAAGGACCTTCAGATCAGACAACTGGGTGCCATTGTCCAACTATCCTGGGTGCAGATGCATAACTGAAACTACAAAACTGGATTTCCAGATAAGAGAAGAGGTTAAGAAGAGGCAAATCCTGCAAGGTGGGAGAATCCCTCTTATCATGCCAATGTCCTCTGTTTACATGATAACTCTGTGCATCCAGCCTGGGCTAAGCATCTCAAATGTCAGACCATGATGGACCAGGACTGATGCTGACACAACAGGCAACTGCAACTGTCTTAGGAGATGTCAGAGACTCATGACATGTCCTGTGACACTATAAATTGTAAAACTCCCCGGCCTAGGGAGGTACAAGGTGTTCCCACCTGTGGTGGAAGTGTATAACTCATAACATCTCTGAGTTTGGTGGGAGGGCTTACCCCAGCCCCAATAGACCAAGACTCTCCCCTTCTGCGGCGGGTCACAACAACTGCATTGCTGGATTACTGCAAAATCAGCTCCAGCATGGGTCAGGAGCGGGTAAGCAGCACTTCACCACTGCACTTACTAGAAACTGAAAGGCTGCAGACTCTGCACTAATACTGTGATGCTTCTGTTAAGCACCACAATCATTATGCTTTTGGTGTAAACTCCAGCGTTCTGAGCAGTACGTGCCAAAAGACATTTACAGCAGCCCTACAAGCCTTCTGTGAGCTCTAAACAGATGATCTCAATGTGAGAATGACCTAATGACACGAGAAGAGCTTTGTGATGCCAGCCTGGGTATGTGCCCAGCGAGGCCTGGAATGCCCTCTAGTGGAAGAGATTATCAAGTAGCCATAGGCCCTCCTTTCATGATCCAAACCTAAGCTTTTTTTCCCCTGTAAGATTTCGTCTGGGGTTATTTTACATAATTTCTACCAAATTGGCAAGTACAAGGAACACAAATGCCATTCCACAATTGCAGCTCATGATCCTCTGCCTGCTTTTAGTTTCCAGCAAGTCACAGCCAGGAGACCACATCGAATGTAAGAAGGGTGCTAGGCACAGCGCTGAGCTACCAGCTCCTACAGACAAAGGCACTTCCTCCAGGCCCAAAGGATCTGAAAACCATGAGATAATACTTTATGAACATGTAAGGAGTTCTATATAATTTGTTCAACTTCATCTTATAAATGACACAAAACTACTGACATTACAAAAAAGGTAGAAGTAGTTGCCAAAAAATACACTTATACTCTGGAGAGGAGATGCAGGTCTTCAAAAATTCTCAAGACAGCTATTTAAGTGCTGCATTTTACACAATAATCCCACTGAGATATGAGATCCAAAGGCCTTTTAATAGGTGAGAGATTACCAAAGTTCAGCAATTCCACCACAACAAGATCTTGATAAAGTCAAACACCTAAAAACCTCAACTGGCTTGCTGGATATGCTAGATTTAGTTCCCTCCATCCTAGATACAACTTGTTAGAATACCTCCTTATACAAAGCTACACTGAGGAAGTAGAGCACATACCACAGCAGCCAGCAGTGGGGCAGGCAAAAGACCAAAATACAAGAACACTGTAAAACACCTAATACACCACTATTTGAAGTTCATGAGAGACGCAAGATCAGAAAAATACTAGTTTGCATTTCTATGCTCTCATCCTCTTCAGCTTCTTAGATTTAAAAATAATATGTGAACCTCCTGTAAGATTACTGTACAGTAGTCCTAATACTAGGAAGTTCTTCATTAGTTATTAATACAAATGTAAGGGGAACCAAAAACCTCCAAGCAGAGGAAGGGAACAAACCCTGTTGTCATCACCATTTAAACCTGCAGTGATTTAAGAAAAGTCTCTTGTACCTTGCTTCGTGCAGAAGCAGGTGTCAGCATAAGCAAGTCAGTTCACAGCTTTGCTTCTGCATGGAGCCCAGCTAAAACCTGTCACCTAGTGACACTTGTTGTGTCTGTTCAGCATCACAGAAGTAGAGCTCCCTAGCAGAAGTGGCAAAATTTGCAGTCTTCCACAATCAAAACCAGTGTCCTAGAATAATACAGTTCCACAGTGCCAGGGATAGGACCTGAACTCAGCTAGCTGACATACTGCTAAGTCACCAGGGACTGTTCTACCACTGCTTCAGTCCCTGCTACTAAACACTCCAACCGATTACTGGCTGTTAAGGTGTTACAGAGTCACCCTGCTCTGAATTGTGGAAGATCAGAAGTTGCTAGACAAGTTATATACATTCATACCTAGGTCTTTATTTCACATCAGTTTGACAACAACAAACTTCTGTTCTGCTAGAAACTGCTTATATTGCAAAGAAGCCGCCAGACCCAGAAAAAGCAAGTTCCGCTTCTCCATTCTTTTCAGGAAGTAGTGTGAGTGTAAGCTGGTTTTGTAGAGTAAGTTGGAGTGCTAACCTTTGGACGGTCTTCCTTTTTCAAGGCTACTGCTTCCAGTTTTGCTTCATACTCTGCTTGAACTTGGTCTCTCTTCTTCAACACATTCTATGGGCAAGAGAAAAGACAGCTGTGAAAGAGATCCTCTTGATCCTTCCCCCCAGCCTGCAAGAAACTCCAAAGTGATACAGGTTAAGTGCAAATTCAGTCCAAAGTCAGACTTTCAGATTTACTTTGTCCTATCTTACAGTATTTAGGGGGTAGTTTTTAATAACAAGGAGTACTTGCTCTCCAGAAGCTGGCAGGGTCAGATAAAATTCAACATTTGGATAAGCCGTAGGCATGCAAGATAGAAGCTGCCATGAAACCACTAACATAATCCTAAGTATTCATCAGTTCACCTATTATTACCATGAACAGGATATAAACAAAAGCATCAAAGTTGACAAGGACTCAGCTTTGATATCCTCAAGCAGCAGACAGACAACAGCACTGGCAAGATACAGGAAAACCACCACAGAAGGTATTACATCTTCCTTTTCATTTACAAAGACTCTTCAGAATTCTTTATAGCAAGCTGTTACATTCTCATGTTAGGACAAAAGTAAGCTTTTATTTTAGATCAGTTTAGGGGGTTTGGTTGCTGGTTTAATTTAAAAAAAAATGAAAATTACAAAAGGCACAATTTACATGAAAAGCAATAAACTGATCCAGAGAGTTTCACAAGCAGCAAACATGTTCTTGGTAGAGTACTCTCAGAATACAGACCCAAAGACCTTGTACTACATCCACAAGAGCTCCACTAAGGTAATACCACAGTCTTACAATTTGAAAATAACCACAGGAATTAGTCTTTTTAGGAATATATTACTAAAAATAAACAAGTTTGTGTCAGCAAGAGCAGGCAACTTACTACTTCAGTCTTCACAAAGAACTAGTATTTTTTAATTACTCAATTGATGCAAAGTTATTATTAAAAATGCTCAGAGGGAAGTCAGCCAACACTCACTGCTGAGGCACCTGTAAATCTGCAATTCTCTTGCAGCTACCTAACTTGGCCAATTCACACTTTGAGTCTCCCCTGTTGCCACCCAGAAGGAATTACCCCATTAGGACGAAGTGATAACTAGTCATTTTAACAGTTTCTGACATGGCTAGTAAAGCAGGACTAGCCATGTCCACTGCTGCCTCCAGAAATCTGTTTTCAAAAGAGTAGTCAGGTCTCTAAGAGCCAATCTAGCCAAGATCTGTTTCCTAATTAAAGAAATACAAATCCTGTATCTACTAATCATCATCTTCCCCCTCTTCCCTCTTAAGCCAAGAAAAGGTCAACAGTGCAGTTGCTCTAGATGAGAGCCAGGAGTGTTGCAATCAACACTCTTAATAAAAGCTCAATCCATGATAAATGGGAATAGCACCCCATCCACAAAGTTACTATTAGTTTAGGCAACAAAAAGATGGAAAACCTGAAAAATTCACCTTCAACTCCTTAATCTTCCCTTTTGTCTCCACAGGGATGAATCAAGCATGCCACTGAATGTGTTTGCTTGACAAACCACAACATTCCCCTTCTTTTCTGAAATGTATGCAACTATGTGGGATGGCCTTTAAGTGATTGAGGTTACCAATGCAACAAAGGTCTGAGAGATTTAACAGGTATTTCTACTTTGTACTGCCACTTGAACCCGAGTCAGCTGAACTTTCTTCTCTGAAAAACCACCACCTCCAGCAATTAATTGCATTCTGCCTTCAGAAGCCTGGAGTGCACGCAGGAAGCTGAACCTGTAGCAGGAATAGCCAATGATTAGCAATTAGAGGCAAACGATTCAAAGGACAGGTGTCTTTTTTCTTCTTAAGTGTTTATGTCCATCCACTGTAGACCATTAACAATATGCTTCTGAATACAGTTTTAAGTATCCAATACTGGCCGACCTGTAAGCGAAGAGAAAACTATTGCCCTCCCTTTCACTTGTACAATGTTTTCCTCTGGCACCTCCAGGCAATCTCCTTTAAGTTGCAGATCAATGCACTAATGCTTTAGCAGCAGTTATGAAAAACTCTGCATCAAGTATCCGGAAACTTAACTGGTAGAAGTTTTGCATGGACTGTGCTAAGGTCTCAGAGACAAAAAAGTAAAAAAATAAATAAAAACCAAACAACAAACAAACAAAAAACAAACACAAAAGAAACCAACACCAAACAGAAAAAACTCATCCAGCACACTTCAGCTATTTCAGGACAGAACTAAATCGCTGCTCCCTGAACAAGAAAGATTTAGCTCAGTTTCAGCAAGGCAGGTCCTCCTCCATTTTGTATTTAGTTGAAACATTCCACCTTGGCCCATATTTCTAAAGAGCTTCAGGAGTTTGCCATCAGTCTTCTTTCTCAAATTTCAATTCCAGTCCTATTTGCACACCACATAGCTTTGTACTGTGACTAGACCTCACAAGAGGATCTCTGTTCACTGCCTGCCTTTACAAACACAGTTACCTATTAATCTATTGCTTGCTTTAAACATGCATTAAAAGTAATGCCCAAACACACCACTGGGGATAGCATCATCTGATAAGCCAGTCTAGCAATGCTAAGCATACAGAGTTCATATAGAATTTTAATATCAGCCCTGGATTATGTAGAGCAGAGTCCATCCTCTGCACATTCCTCCCTGGGGAACACCAATGGACAGCAAAAAATGTGGCACCACATGTTTGCTGAACAGGGCCTCACTGCACCAGAATTCGAGATGTCCTCTTGCCATGTCATAAAATCATAGAATACCAGGCTGGAAGGAACCCCAATAATCACCTGGTCCAACCTTTCTTGGCAAAAGCACAGTCTAGACAAGACAGCTCAGCTTGATCTTGTCCAGCTGGATCTTAGAAGTGTCCAATGTTAGGGAATCCACCACTTCCCTGGGGAGATTATTCCAAAGGCTGTTTGTTCTCATTGTGAAAATTCTCCTAGTGTGTGTAATCAGAATGTCCCTGGGAGTAACCAGGGACATTCCCCTTGTGAAAAGGGAGCTTCCATCATCTTCATAGTCACTCCTTAAATACTGGAACATGGTGATAAGATCTTCCCTAAGCCTTCTTTTTTCAAGGCTGAACAAACCCAGCTCTCTCAGCCTTTCCTCACATGGCAGGCTTCCCAGTCCCTTGATCATCTTTGTAGCCTTTCTCTGGACCCTCTTCAACTAATTCACTTTTTTTTTTGTACAGCAGGGACAGAAACTGAACACAGTATTGCAGGTGTGGCCTGAGAAGCACTGAGGAGAGTGAATAATTTGGAAAAGGTCTCTCCTAGACACTACCAGCACACAGTTTATCTCAAGCCTATACCACCAGCCTCTCCCCACTTTCACAAATCTTTCACACAAACCCAGAGACAGGGCTTCCCTCAAATCAGCCAATATTTGATTCAACCAGAACTACTGGGCTTTGCCCCCGTATGTCCAGTTCTCTCAGGCTGTCCCACTCAGGTACAACAATAGCAGCTCTTACTCTGAGGGACATTCAGCCAGCTAGAGACTGCTCTACAGATCAGGTTCTCATACCTACACCAGGGGTACAGTGTGCAACAGAGAAAGCTATCAAGGTTGCACTGAACTCCTAGTACCTAAAGACTTGCTGTCACCAAGTACCCTGTCCAAAAGATGTGGTCTGAAAGACCAAAACAGACTTTCATTTCACAAGTAGCCCTCACAGGAGCTGATGAAGACGACTGCACTAGTAGTGAAGAGGACAGCCCCTTCAGCAGAATGCCTCCTGCGTTCCAAGCGTAACCTTCTTTTACAGTTACTTACTTAATGTTAACAGATTCTGCAAAGACAGTTCAGTAGCTGCTCACTGCAGAAACAGCAACAGACTGGTACTTTCTAGTAGAAGAAAACCATACTTCGTAGGATCTGAGAGAGTTCAGTTTTGCCATTTGAGAAGGAAGGAAAATAGGAACAGTCTGTCTTGGCTAACAGTAGATTTTATTCTTGATTTTCAAATTTTCAGACAGCATAAAGCCAGTAGGATGCCCAAGCTGGACACTAAACAGCATAATCTTTTACGGCCCTATAAAGTCAAGTCAACAGTCTAAAATGTTCGAGCTAAAAAGCAAGGGTTTCTTCAGCTGAAGAGGTACTTTAGGCAGTTAAACAGCACTTACTACAGTCAGGCTACCTGCTGGCCTTTTAGAGCCCTTTTAGAATGGCACGGTCTCCAAGCCAACATGTAACTAGACACAAATTTTTAATGCTATTTTGCCTGTGGTAAGTGGTGCTTAACTGCCCAGAGTACCTCTTCAGCTAAAGAAACCATTGCTTTCTAGCTTAAAAAAATTTCCCCTCCTACATTTGTGAAAAGCACCTCTCACATATCAGCCTGACCCTTCAGATGCCATCTTTGGTAGGCTGAGGCATTTCTAGCATCAAAAGCCAGATGTTCTGAGTTAAAAGCTTTAATTACTAGACTCACACTGTTTATTTGTAAGCACATCCCACCCACCTCCACTTCCTACAGTCCCAACATCCTGAGACAAGGCTTCCTACAGCTCACACCGTTCCAGCAACACTTTGTTGTCAATAGACTCGTAAACAAAATACATCTTGGTTATGCTGGAGTCAATACTATAGTGACAAAAGCAAAGAGTATACTAAGGGAATTTGTGAAAAGCCTTCTGCAAGAACACTTCAGCTACACAAGAGACATACAATTAAACACCTGAAGGTCGGAAAACAAAGCTGCAAATTATCTGTTTCAATTCTCAGTTTGAGAAGTACAGGATGAGACTAAGATTAAGAAAGAGAAGGTCTATCATATTCAGACTGTAAGTTTACAAGATCTGTAAAGGAGTGCATATCACAGCCTTGGTACAGTTGTTCCAAGTGGAAAGTCTTCAGAAGGAACTTGTCTGTTAGTACCCTATAGAGGGACAGCTAACACACATTGTACCATGGGCATATAGTGAAAGGCTCTAACAGACAAACTAAAGTCTTTGGTTTCATTTCTCAGTGCAGTTTACTCAGTAGTTCTTTCCCCCATTCAATGTGACTGATTACCAATGCTCCTTAACTTGAAGGGAATAAAACCCACATTAAAGTAAGTTTTATTACTTCTGCATAAGCATCAAATTCTTAAGAGAGATTAAGAGTCACAGAATACCATCTTTAAGCAGTTAGTTGGTATGCAGAACTTAACTTTACAACATCCTGTCTGGGTTTGGGGACGACAGAGGAAGCAGTGCCTGTCATTTGAACACATGGTTCTGAAAGGAGGCACCCAACTCTGCTACATACAAGTGACAGAAGCTGCTAATGCTGTCTATTCTGTAGGGCCAGGCACTGACCCTGCAGTGAAGAGCTGAGGATGACTGACTTTCTGTGACTTCAAGGAAAGATTCTAGGCAGCCACAGGATGTCTCCTATAAAGTACTACCTGCCACTCTGACGAAGGAACAGCTCTCCAACACTTTGTGTGCACCCTTGCAATACTGACCTTAGCTTCACTGAATAGCAGAGCAGACCAATAATGCTATTTATGCTATTAAACACACCTAGTTTTGTTTTGACTATGGAAACATCCTCCTACTTAATGTATTATTTACTTCCACGCTTTTCCCACAGCATTTCTCGCTATTAAAAAGAACAAACCCTCTGATATATCATGCCAGGCAAACACAATGACAACGCTCTCTACCACAGGGCTCTCTCTACCTTCATTGACTCAGCATACAATATATATTCCCTAAGCACAGGCAGGAAGTCTTCTGTCATGTCTTCACTGAGTTCTTCAAGAGCCGTGCAACAATTTCCAATACAGGCAGACACCCCTTCCAGTGGCTCTGACAGCTCAACCTCCAGCCCTCCCCAGGTTGAATAAACAGGTCCATATTCTCGTAGTTCCACCAAGTATTCTGCAAGAAGCACAGATTAACAGAGTAAGAGCAAGGCACAAAGACGTGCAAACACTGCTACCAAACAGGAGAAATTTTACACCAAGTTTGACTAACATTAACCCTCAGAAGGAGTCAAGACTTGTGTTGTGTTGGCACCTTAATAGACAGAGCTCTATGGCTGCATGGGTGTCACGTTCAAGTTGCCTCCTTCTTAGCTGGCCATTTCTACAGACTTCCAGTACAAAGACTCTTGTATTAGTCGAAGTAGTAGTCGAAGTCAGTTTTCTAAACATATGTAAAACTTGGTTCTGCCAAGACAAGCTGTAAAGGTTATCTTCGTCTAGGAATTCCATCTGTACTCCTCCAGATGGAATGTACAGGTTTTTCCACCTTCCAAAAGTCTATCAAAAAATAACTCTAGTAAGACAGTAGGTTGGTATAAAAAGAGCAACTTTGGAGAGTTGGGATAAGATAAGAATACTGTGTTAGGCTTTGGGTTTGTTTTAGATCTGGAAGGGGCATTAGGTTTTGCTCTGTGTCTGACATTACAGACCAGAATCATCAACGCAAATTGTCTTGATCAATGCTATCAACTGGACTAAGAGACAGGACATTCAGACTGAAGTGTTATGATAGAGCACCTTGTGTCCTTACCCAACTGTTCTTTGATGATCCGCTGTGCTATTCTGTCAATGGTACCAAGCTTTAGAGAGAATGTGTCTAGATAATCCCCAATGGCTGCAAACTCCAGTGGTCGACTTCTTAATTTGTAGCCTCCTGTAACATATTTGACAGATTCCCCCATCTTTGACAGCAATGCCATTCCTTGCTTTTTGTAGGCATTAAGATCCTAGGAATTAAAAAACGAAACAGAGCATGTTTATAAATATTTCACTTCCACATTGGAAGATTAATGCAATGAAGTCAAGATCAAATCTTGTGAAGGCAAGAGATTACATATGACACGTAGCCTTGGACAAAGGCTCGCTTTGTACAAGCTGTACAGCTAAGCACAGCTTCAAAACTACCCCTAGATGGAGATGAACTATCCAGGAGAATGGTATGAAGTACAGTATAAATAACTAAGTAGTTCAACTTTGCACATGGCCAGACTTGCCCATGTTCCTGTACTGCCACCAGGGAAGTAGCCACATTAACAGCTCTGGTTCCACCAAAACAGCTCATATCATTCATCCACACGTACTTCTAAGCTATAGCCCACAGCACTAGTATTATGCAAATGCACCAGCTGGCTCTGATGACCTAGTACAGAGCTACATACCACATGCCCATTCAGTAACCAGCCCCTTCACACCAGCTGTGTGGTCAGATAGGAGCAGGCAAACACTGTACACAGAAAAAAGTACAGCAAGACAGAGTGCAGCTCAGGCTGGGTCAGATGTAGCTACATTACCTGCACAGAAAGTCTGAGCTTCCTTACTACCGCTTTACACATTTGCACAAACCAACATTCAGATAACCTATGGTAACAAGGCTGTTTGCCTACAATCTTCAAGGGATTTCACCTTAACAGTACATCAGAAAAAAAAGGTTTTAGTAAGCAAAAAACGCTGTCCATTTTGCATGGACTGACTCCTTCCAGCAGGGGTCAGTATTCAACATCTCAAAACAGGAGCTGTAACTAGGTTATCCTATACAGCCTGGGGAAGAGATGTGTTCAAACCAAGTAGACCTACAGAGGTCAAGAATTCAGACATGCTAATATGGACTACACTAAAAGCCTTCTTTAAAAAAAAGAGGAAAAAAACCACCAAAACCAAACAAACAAAACACAAAACACAACAAAAAAAAAAACCCACAACACACCAAAACCCAAACAAAACCAGCAGCCATCTTCAAAACATGTACTATGGTATTCTTTCCAAGTACTTAACATAAGTCAAACATAGGTCTGATTAGGAGAACCTGACATCTTAGCAGCTACTATAATTTTAACTTATGTTTGCATTTAAATGCAGTAGTTCCTTGACTCTTGCTTTCCATATGACCTAAGCACTACCTGCAAGCAGGCACCAGAAGATCCTTCAACTCAAAATTACTCACTCACTCTCTCAAGCATTCTGGTCTGTTACTGGTTCAAGCAGGGAACCTGAAAAAAAGCCTGGTTTCTCTTTTTCAACCAGGAGGTGATATTATGACTTTCTGTAGTAACTAAAGTCTGGAGTCCTAGCACACCAGACTGACACCTCACTGTTCCAACAGAGCAAGTCACAAGAACACGTGCCTTGTCTTTCCACCTCCCAGCATGCTCTGTTGTCTCTAGGCAAGCTCTGCTCAGAGCTGAGAACAAAGCCCTTGACATTCGTTTTACAGGGGCGGGAGAAGACTAAGCAGTTGAGAAAGCTGCATCATGCTTGGACAGCTGAAAAGAAGAACACAGTTATCTGACATTTAACTATCACGATGCTAAACAAATTCTGCATTTCTGGCTTATTTCAGCAGTCAAGTTCATCATGGAGGTGAAATAAAAGAGCAATGGAGATTGATTCTCACACTAACAGCAAGGAGAGCATGAGCCTGAGGTGAGCTCAAATTAAACACCATATTTGAGTGAGCTAGATTAATGTGATATTGGAAAGATGTGCTTTTATATCCCTCCTCACCTATCCGGTCAAACCCAAGCATAACCGCAGGCCTTCAGTCTCATTTGAAATGCAGTTCAAAAGAAAGCCAAAGAAAATTGCACCATTGCTGCATGAGTCATGCAGAAGATGAGCATGAAATTGTTGACTGAGAACAAATGAGAATGAGGCCTCCATGCTTAGTTTTGAAGGCAGCAAGTGCAAGCAGTATAAAAAGCACAGACCAAAAAAAAGCCAAGAAATTTGCAAGCTTTTGTGCAAGAGAGACCTCTCTTCCTCCCTGGCTTCCCTCCTCCCCAGAAAAGGATTCTGAAGTCTACAATTTTCTAAATTTTGAACATCTTTGGCATAATAGGAGTATGTTCTAGGCACACAGCTACAAAACAAGCAAGTCTGGAGAATTTGTCCATCTGCAGACCAGATTCCTCTTCCCTCCAAGCAAAGGGAATCCACTCAGTTGTCAGGGATCCGTCACACACAATATTCAGGGTTCCCAGCAACTCTCTGATATTTTAGGGGAAGTTCTGATCTGCACATCTAGTTTTATTAATGCCTTTTTACCTTCACTTCAGAAGTGACTGCAAAGGTTCCTGTTTTTTTTGTCCCTGTCAAGGACTGTGTTTGCAAGTTACTGGCTTACCTTGGCTGTGAGAAAGACGTTGAAGTGCTCATTGAAAGAAAGCACTGGGTGATCAGTTATTCTCTTCAAGAACTTGTCTAATGCTTTCCTCCTTGTCTCCACGAACTCTTCAGAAAAGCGATCAACAACACCCTTCACCACAAATTTCTCAGGAAGAGGCTGTCAGAGATAAGCAAAATGCACAAGATTCAAAAGATCAAAAACTTGCTTCTGCTATTTGGAAATAAAGCAATCAAGCACCAGTCTTAACAGGAACTGAAATGCTGTGTTTGCTAACAGGAACCAAAACGTTGCGTTTGCTAACAGGAAGTATCCATCAGATGGGATGCAAGCCGTGCTCGGAATTATCTTTTAGTTGGTCTGGTTTAATGCTAGCAATTCTACTGAGTGGCTTCAGCTAAGAGTCACACTAGGGAAGCCCATACAGTACTCACACAAAGTACTTGCAGCATAGCTTAGATTGTTCCCCCTACTGCTATCTGTGTTCAAGATCCAGCTCTAAAGAGATGTCAGAAGAGCTACACACTATTCACAACAGCAGCATAAACACTCCCCACCACCCAATGCTAAGGCAAGGCTGCCTAGAGCAGATAAACTCAGAAAATTTGACAATTCTATTTACTCTCCCCTCTCCTTCTCTGAACAATTTAGAGCTTTTGAATAGGGCTCTCCTGTAAAAGGCTGATAATCTTAGTGAGAGCACCACATTGAGCAGAGACAGACAAGCAGGCTTGACACAGCAAGTGTCTGAGTAGTGCAGGCTGGATCCTTTCTGAAGTACAGGCATACCTGGTCATCTCTCAGAGACAACTTTCCTGAGTATGCTTCTGTAAGTGACAAAGGTCTGACAACATATCCACTCTTGTATCTTACTACTTTGAGTCCATCCGTTCTTTTCCGCAGTTCAGCTTAACATATAAACCTGAGGCTGTCTCCAGACTTGCTAGTTATACAGTCCCTCCTGTTACACTTAAATGACAGACTTCAAAGTACCACTTCAGATGGAAGATAACTCTTTAAGCTTAAGAGTGGTTCTACCATTAGATCTGCTTTTGTTCTGCCCAGACAGTATGGAATTTAAGATTAGCATCAGTTTTTAAACTGTGCTTTGCCTTTCACTCTCTGTGAAGCAGTCCATCCAGACAACCTGCTTACTCTTAGGCTAGCAATGACAGTCATTTTCACCCAATTCAGGAAATAGGATTCTCCTCTGCAAAGAGTCTGTCATCTAAAATCTGTGACAAAAATAATTCAAGAAAAAAGAAAATCTGCATACACATCCTTTCGCACCATATCCCAGATGATGCGGGACGTATATGAAGATTGTACCTGCTGAAAAGCACAGCCAGCATGACTTAGCTGCAACACAGCTGAATGTATTTTAAGACTTATCTTATTATGCTTAGCATTCAGATCAATCATGCTAATTAAACCATTGTAAGGCATACTATCATTAGATTTCAGAAGTATAGTGCTTAGTGCATTAGTTTTCAGGTAGGAAGGAACTCTTTTCCTTTGCTTTATAAACTTTAGCTGGGACTCTAGGAAGTCACTACCTCAGCACCATATGCAGGAAGAAAAGGACAAACTGAAAGACTAGTTTAAAGAATCCTAGTTCAACCAAACACATTCAGTGTGGCACTGAATAACCACTAATGTTTGAGCATTTGAGACCCACAGAAGAGTGCACCTCTATTACAAAGCCTTCTGCCATTTAACCTGGTTTCAGCTACAGCAGCAGTTACAGTCCTTTCGATTTTAGGCCTTTGGAGGTCCATCCCAAGTAGTCAGTACACACAGCTAGTAACCAACATCCTGTTTTTACTGTGTGTGCAAATTATCTACCTTATTGTCTTCCACATTAATAGTCTATTTTTCCCTACTGAGATACACACGAACAGAGTTCACTGCAGTCAGAAATGTCTTCAAGTATCCAAAAGGGCAGCACATGCTTATATCTCCAGATTTTCTAGAAGAAAGGTACTTAAGATACCTCCTTACTCTGCAGCCAGTTCACATCCAGTATTAGAGCTACTCATGCCAAATTTGCTGTTCTGCATGCAACGAATTCCAGGTCACAGCAAAGCAGCTTGATTCCCTGACTGACTCACCTTCTGTTGCTAGACTATTATTTATTGCCTTGCAGCCTTCAGGCAGGACTGGCAGTCTGTTAGCATACTCAAGAATCTGTAAAACTTAACTGCAATAATTCCAGCTGTTCAGAGAACAGGAAGCAAGAAAAGATGGTATGGGCAGCTAACATATTGCATGTCTACATCTTAGTCTCCTAAGCTCACTGTCTTTCTTTTCCCTACTCCTCAGTAAGCATATTTGCTGCCAGTTAGTAGTGTCACATGATATTATAAAGTACTCCTTATCTTTGAGAGAATCAACTATTATTTCACTTAGAGGCGAGTCCCAGAGTAATTAAGGACTTAAATAGTACTCTAAGCCAGAGCAACCTAACTGAATACTTCTCACACAGCCTAGTCCTTGCTGAGGGAGGGAGACCAGAGAAAACACCACCACACCACTCACCTCAATCCTAGATGGGCAAGCTAAAGTATGCCACTAGCATTGCTATTTCCTGACAATTCCCCTCCAATAAGCCTTTTTTAATTTCTTTGTTCAAAAGAGCTGAAAGCAGTGATCTCACAGGTTTCCTACCTATTCACGTCTTCTACAGCACAAAAAACATCTCACATAAGGTAGTATCAACCTCTTCACGTCAAATAAGGTGGTCAGATTGCCGGTTTCAGCAAAAAGAGGTGCAGTAGTTTAGCTAATCTCATTAATAAATTTCTGCCTACTGAAAGCATGCAATAGCTACCAAGCCAGAGGCTGAGGTTTCTAAATCTGTGCTATCAAATGTCAGCCCTATTAAGTGCTAGCACAAATAGTTTCAAATTGCTCTGTAAAACCAGCTCAAAAGGCCATCTTGAAAAACAACTAAGAATGTGAAGTACCTGTGTGGCTTTTCATAATCCTCAGCTGCTCTGAAATATAGAAGTAAAAACTGAGCAAACAGATGAAGTGCATTCCATTTATGTCACAACAAATTTAGTCACCACACATATTGCCCTACAGGAGGCTGCCAAAGGTCACCTCTCAGGTGTGCCACCCCAGAAAAGTCTTAAGCTTCATAATCAGTCAAGAATGGGAAGCTCTTCCCACTCCACTGTAAGACAATAAAGTACCATATTTAAACCTAAATACTCAAAGAGAATGAAGTACTGTTTTTAAAATCTAGAGACAAATCACCCAAATATCACCCTTGGAAGACAAATGTAGAACTGTCCTTAATAGCAGATTCTTGCTTACTACCTACGGGAATGAGATGCGTTGGCTGAGACTCTTCCAGCTTGTTTCTCAACCAGTCGAAGTCTTGGTACCGCCGACGGACAGAATACTCTGGCAAATCAAACTCTGCTCGTGTAGTCTGGAAAAGAACAGAATACACTTAGTGTACACCAAACCTCTCACTTCAGAGATTAGCAGCAAATGCAGTACAGCCACCCCCAGCAAGGGTGAAGACAGACAAGCCTTGCAGGGGGTCTTCATCCCCAAAATTGTACAGCCAGCATAAGAGAAAGATCCTCCGGACTTTCAAGCAGTGGAAATGCCAGCAATACGAAAAATTATTACTTCAAGTTGACGTGTTAAGATCTTGTTGTACTTCTTTACGTGTTCTGCTCAGATACTTTACGGGAGAAGTCTGTAGAGCAGACAGAACCACATCACTCTCTTGGCAGTTACGAGATTGCAAAGAAGACTGTGTGAGATATTCATTCCCAGAAGATTACTTTAACTATCAAGACCTAAAAGCAAAGATATTTATTGACTTTGTTTATTCTATGACATGAATTATCCACAGATGAGAAAGAGTTTCACCACTGCCCTGTGTCAAGCAATGGGTTTATCACACTCCTTCAAGTCTAAAAGATTAGAACATAAGCCACTGCGAGGTTTGATGAAGGACGATTTTTGTTGGTTTTACTAGAGGAAGAAACAACTCTGTTTACATTAAATTTGTGTATGCCTGATTAGTACATTAGTACATATAATAGTACATTAAAATAAATCTTTTGAAGTTTTATTCTTTAGGGCAAGAAGTCAAAGTTGCCATTATAAGTTTGAGGAAAAAAGTAAACATACAGGGAAACTGCTGGCAAGTGTTTTATCCAATCCTTGAGCAGTCCAGAGTCTGGAAGGCTGACTGCGTGGGGCTGCTTGCCCAGCAAATACTGTAAGCATAAAAGCACTCTCGTGAAACTGCATACCAACTAGGAGCATCTGCTAAAGAGCCTGGCAGCAGTAGCCCTGATTAGAATTTAGATGGCCCTTATTGTTATGTCCCATACAGAGGTATACTTAAGTTACTTGCAGCATCAAGACCATCTTGCAATGAATAGTCTGTACACTACATGTCTACACCGAGACACCAAAACCAGCACATTCTGGGGAACACACCAGCAACTGCAGCTTTGAACGAGCTTCGAGACCAGCACTTGGTTTTGCTACTCCTATCCACTACGATTGCCTGATAAATTCCAGCAGACACTCGGCATTTACTTCCAGACTGAGAGCAACTGCCACATATTTGCAGAAAGTCAAGTAGCAGATTTTAAATGCAATCCATCTCTTCACTTGCTTTCTCAGTAGCTCCAACTCTCCAGTTACTGTACTTTACTCCCACCAATAACCACTGGAGATCCTGTATGAGTTCTAGACCAGAAATCTTTTTCTAGGGGGAAGTTGGCAGCCTTAACACACTAGTAACAGCACGGTAGCTCTAGTACATTATAAACAGCATGCTAATGTGTTATTACCTATGTTATTACCTTCTGGAAGAGGAAGGCATAAGAGACAGAAAAGAAGAAATCAGGATAAGCTCCTCCCTCCTTTGACCTACTAGCTATGGTTAAGCGATATACAGGTTAGTCCTTGGACTAACATAACAAACGCTCACCAATGGAGTAGTTGTGGTTGTGATGAGGGGCTACCAAGATGTAGATATCCACTGCAGATTTGTGTTTTACTCAGCCACCCCTCAGAGTAACACCAGCTTATTTACTAATGTGTTAGAGTGCCACACTAGAAATTAAACTTCTAAGACTTCATATGAATCATTTTCACTTGTTTTGAGTAACAGAGTGAATGGCATTAGAGTGATACAAGATAACTCATGCACATACGGACAGCCCTCATCGGCCAGTGGTGTTCACTGCATTATTCTGTTAATTGGGCAGCTGTACCTTTGCCTTGCAACCTGAAATGAAAAAAAGGGGGGGGGAGGGGAGAGTAATTATTTAGAAGAAGGGATAGCTTTTGTGAACTGGCAGTCACTGCCCAAAAGCCTCTTAAAAGAGACCTGACAGTGAATGGACGAGAATGAGAATGACTACACACTGCAGTACCTTATGTATGAGGATGAAGGTAAAGTCTCCCATCTGTTAGCACTGAGAACCTTATTAACCAGTATTCTGCTAACAGTTAAGGAAATCTGTAGAGGTACTCTCTAGGAGTAGGAAAGCAGGGTAAGTTCCAGTGCACAAACTTTACATTAGTTACTGTGTAAAGCAAACTGGTCCTCTAGCAAACTGGCCCTCTAGCAAACTGGTCCTACTGCCTCTACTTCACAAGCAGAATGGCAAAGTTTTCCATATATCTAGTTCTGTTCCTCAGAGGGAGGCAGATGAAAATACAGCAACACCATCATTTCAAGTTTTTACTGTATAGACTGTCAAATCTAGACAGCAAATAAGCTTTTCAAAGATTATTTGGGCAGAACATAAAGGCCCTTCAAGGTTTTAATGACACCTCACTAACGCTGAAAGTATCTGGATCTCAGATCAAACCGTTATTAGCTTAGCACAAGTAATTTTTTCCAGACTGCACACAAAAGGGAGGAGGGTCTTGCCACCGTCCAGGGACAATGCTGAAGAACACATTCAGTGCAAATAGCTCCAGGTGCAGCTACAGCCACAGCTGCAGGTTGAGCTCTGAGTGGTAGGAGCACCAGGCAACAGGCTGTGAACTGGCACCAAACTTTACACAGCAAAGGGCCTGGGGTCCTATGGCCCAGCCAGGGGACCAGACACAGAGACACAGCAGGGGCCATTGACCCCGAGGATTTCACACATGTAGACTGTGAAGGTATAAAAGACCAGAGTTCCTTAGTTCTGGGTCCCTCCTCAGAGGCACCAGCTCGAGCTGTTATTTTATTATTGCACCATGATTAAACTATTTTAAGGATCCAGACGTCTGAGACTCAGCTATGGGAAACTTGGGGCCAAACTGGTATGGAAAACTTGGTCTGACTGTGTGAGTGTGAAGTGCCTACATGGGAAGGGGCCTTGGTTCCAGCTCAAGTGGATCAAGTGTGACTGCCAGAGTGGCTCCTGGATAGTCAGACAGAGAAGTTTCCTTAACAGGCAGCAAGTGAAATGTCTGTGTTTTTGACACAGTCAAACTCCTCCTGCTTCCTTAGTGGGATTGGATTCATAAATCTCATGTCACAAGGACATATGTCTCTGCCAAAGGAAGCTGAGAAACTTATATGACAGACCTCACCCTCCCAAAAAATAATGGGCAAGACATTTGCAGGAATTTATTGAAGATTCCAGCACAGTTCCACTAAGTCAGCACTGCAGCATTCTGGGCTCAGTTTTACTTGCTGGAAAGCAGGCAGTCTTACAGACACTTTCACCTCTGTTGCTGGAATAGTTTTGACTTGAGGCAGTATTAAGGCAATCACCAGGTCTCCGTCTTGTGTAAGATCCTTGTCGTTCCTGGAAGGAGTTAGGAGCCAAACCTAAAGCTAGTCTGTGATGATTATATGAAAGTACTTTTGTACCCTGGTTCTAGTCTCTTACTCACTAGACTCGATTGCAGATTCCCCTCCGTGTTACTATTTAAGTTTGGGGCAAAATCTTCAACTAGAAAACAGGACAATGGCAGAGAGTGGAAGGGAGCAAGGCTTGTTTTCTTAGCACTTCAGCATTACTTTTGCCTTGAATAGTTTAGCCTGTTTGAAAAAGAGAACCCATCCCCTTCACCTGCTCCTCTCTAGGAAATCAGGCTGTTTCATGTCCCCAAGTAATCTAACCAATGTGTGCACTGGAAACATGAGAAAAAGGACAGGAAAGCAAAAACAAGACTCCAATATTGATTGGTTTGAAAGACTCTCCCTTCAAGCCTGCAGAGCAACTGCATGACTGAGCAATGGCACTCAGCTATTCAGACCTCCATGGGAAAAGGCACAGAAGAAGGCCTTGCCATCCTAGAAAGCACAGTGAAAGTGAAGTTAGAAGTACGCTTACTTATGTTTCCCTCAGGAGATGTGACTACACAAGGGCAAGCTTCCTTTCCCCCCTCCCTCCTCGCAAAGATTCGCTCAACCAAATCCCCCTAGAATGCACAGCAGTCTATGGGAAGAACACAAGGATGAATCATCAAGAACATCTAAGACACTTCAATCATCACAGTCAAGACCAATTAAGTTCCAGTGCAATTTCCACCCACCTTTATTGGTTTCACCTCCCTGGATAAGGAAACTGCTGTTAGCAAGAAGAAAACAGGATATGAAAGTGTCAAGACAGTCAGTTCTGAATCACTGTCCTTGTTAGTTTGAGGATTCCAATTACATTCTTTTAATGTGTTTGTCCAGAAGACAGGCTGGGGAATGCTACCCTGGCTCTTACTAGGAAGCTGTGAAAATAAGGATACAAGCAAGATCAAGTAAAATCTTCAGTTTTCTTCTCAGCTCCTCTGCAAACCACTGTTTTGTCCCTTCCTCAGTCACTACCACCTGCTGACAAAGGTATCAGCAGATGAAAAGTCTGGGCCATACTGCAAGACTTCTCTTTTTTTTTTTTTTGCTGTTACAATGAATACAAACAAGACTGTGGTCAGTCTTCACTCTTCCACATGCTGGTGTCCTGTCACAGTCACGAGCACACATTACAGCATCAGCTTCCCCTCTTGCACCTCAGGCTGCTGCTTTTCAGTCTTCAGTATAACTCACTCTATGACCTTTATTTACCCAAACCTTTGAGGTTCCAGAAGCATTCTTCAGTGGAGAAAGAAAAACAGAACAGCCATCCCTGCCTCCTCATTCAGAGGCACCAGAGAGAGACTCTTTAGAGGTCCTGAACCCCTTTCCTGCAAGGCTGCAAGGGAGGTGTTGGGGCGGTTCCTCATTGCCCTCTACAGATTATTCCTGTGCAGCTTTTTTGCCATGTTTAATTAGTACTTTCAACTGCAATGTCTAATTGGGCAATTAGCTTGGCATCGAAGAAGCCTGGTTTGTAGGGCAAGAATGAGTAAGACCATTAATACTGCTAGTCTTCCTAGACAATGGCAGATAGTTCTAAAGGTTCTGACCCTAGAGATCAGCCAGAAGTGTACAATAATAATAAAACCAAAGAGGTGAGAATTTCATGCTGATTGAGAAGAATAAATCATGTGCAGTTTCATAACAGCATTGCAATGCTGTGATATAGCAGATTTATGCGCTACAGTGAGATCCCTAATAAAACAAATATTAACGGACGGGTAGGTAGATATGCAAAACAAGAAGTACAGGATGATTTTTTTTAATGTAAAAAAAAAAAAAAAGACACTGTTGGGTAATACATCTGACCTAAACACAGTAAATACCTTAGCCACATTCCAGAGTTCTGCTTTAAGAATGAAGGGAACCCTTGAGCATAGGTTTCAAAGCATAGGAACATTATTTGGGTGCCACTATATACAGCTATTTTATACTGATGAAATAGTCAGTTCTTAATTTAAGAGAGAAACAATGTCAGCCAATTTTAGCCATTTGCCTGTGGACAGCAACGTGTCCTGTGCATCATTTTGTGAGATGCATCATTCCTTCTGATCAAGTAATAGCTGAAGGCTAAGTTGCTCCAAGTTAAAAAAAACAAAACCAAGAAGACTTTCCCACAATACTACTTAGTATTTTTAGTCATTAAGATACAGTGTTTCTTGCAAAACTCTTAGAGCAAGAATGAATGACAGGACTGTGTTAAGTGTGCAGCAAGAGGTAGCTATTGTTTTAGAGAAACTACATTTTCTCACGTGCTGTCTGGAAATGGAACTTCAGAGTCGACATTTTGAAAAAAAGTTATCTGTGGCCTGTAAAGGCTTCCTCATCTCAAAGGAAAATATTCTCTCCAGTGTATACTGCCATCTAGGTAGGCCAGAAAAATGTTAATCTTTTTGGACAAGTGGATCGAGTATATTACTAGCGAAGTTAGTGAACACTTTTTGCTTTAGGTAACTACAAGTGCCCAAAACAGATGTCAGCGTCACCTACGAGCTGATGATAATGATCTAGTCAACAGAAATCAAGATTTCAGTTGTGAATGCAGTGGACTTTTCAGATCATTTGTCCTATTAATATAATAAGATTTCATTAATGACTGAACTACAACAGATGCTGAAAAAATCTCTAGCGTATTTCTTTTGGTAGGGAGTAGTGTTCTTAAACTACTTCAGTTTTACTGTCAGCTGTACAGCCTTCTGAACCAGAACTGCATGGAAGCCAGTTTACAGGAGAGGATCAAGATTATGATTTAGTTAAATGGCTGATAGAGGAATTGTAGTAAACACTTAAAGCAACAATCTTAAAGCATATCAGAAAAGGAGAGACACGAAAAGCAACATGATTAACAGTGAATCAACAAGGCACATTCCCCTTAAGGGAACTCTAACCAAATGGGTGTCAGATTACTAAATGAACAAACTTTCAAGTTAATGAAAGAAACTGGCCTTGCAAGTTTACAAACAGTTCTATTTAGGACTCAGAAACAAAAAAATTTAAGCTGACACATTAAAAGTTTTTTTGCAATTTCATATACTAAAGTAATTGTTCTGCTAAGAGAAGTGACATCTTCAACATATTCACAAGGTACCAAAAGACAGTAAGTTAGGATAAGAAAATACAATACAAGATATAAATATCCAGAACAGGTCCTAAAATGATTCCACAAAGAACAAAGTACTAGGAAAGAGAATGTTGCTCTGTACCTTTGTTGTAACCCTGTATGTGATATACGTCTCCATCGTGCACACGTGTTTTTTGGGATCATCAACAGTAACAAAGAGGTCTCTAGTTTCCACATCCAAGTCATCATCCAGCTGCAATCTGTTAAGGAGAGATGAGGAGGAGGCTGGGCTAGAAGTGTCCACAGGTGTGCCATTAGGCAGACTAAGATCCTGTAATAGAGAGGAAAAAAAAGGAAGTTTTTAATAAGTTTAACAGATTCAAGAAAAAGCACAATATTTTCAAAGAGGCCACTGTCAAGTTTCACCAATACATTACAAGGGTATTTACCCCAGCAGCTCCAAGGATCACCCTTTTCCAAGATACCTGAGCAATCTCCTAAGGTCTGGACTTTGACCATTAAGTTGTTCTACAAGTTGAAGAGAAAGCAAATTACCACCATTAACTCCCCTTAGTATGGTGCAACCGGCTTTCTATTCATAAGGAAGTAGAAATATTGCTGAACCAACACCTCCTGGTGAGACTGAACCAAATTAGACTCTGAAAACAAGTCAGCTAGGCAAATCAAGAGACCTACTTATAAGACAGCCTTCAGGCAAAGTGGCAACAGTTCAGTTGTCTGGAATGCAGTCAGCCTCTGGAGATTCCTACAGTAGAAGAAGGAGCGAAAACTTTCATCAGAGGCTTCCCATCTAGTCCATTAACATCCAAACACACTGACAGCAGTCAGAGCCTGAACTGCCATCACCACACTACAGGACAGTCACTGATCACACCCTTCTGCACCAGTGTCTAGGCACACCTCCCTTTTGGAGTTCTAATGAAAACACTACTTTTTCCTGGAAGAGGTCCTCATTCCCATCCTCTGCCTAAGGAAGACAAATGCTAGAAGATCCAGCAAGTGGCTGTTTTAGGAAGACACATACAAAGGTTTAGGAAATCTGCAATTCCTTGAAATTGACTGAGCAGAAAGGGAAGGAAAAAAAGAAAGACCAACAAACAAACAAACCCACCAAAAAAACCCCAAACACAAAAAAAAAACCCCACCAGCCTTATAGCTAACTTGATATATTTCCACACCTTCAAATATCACACTTGAATACAGACCAACTACTCCATAACAGTGGTTACTCCACTTGCATAAATATCATAGCAACTTCACATGTTCTCTGCTCTGGTTTTGAAACAGAGGGAGCCAACAGCATATGACAAGTTGTACAGCATGTAGGACGGGAACACCTGACAACAGTATTAAAAAGTCCTAAAGATCCATGCCTCTCCTTTTCAGAGAAGACGGGATTTTTGTTTGCACCTTCAACTAGTAGCACAGGAATAGATTTATCCACAGAATGACTTCCCTTATTGCTAAAGAGAGAAACATCACTTCATCTAAGCACCACAGTAACTAGAATTGTTTTAGGTATACAATTAGTGCTTAGCCCCAGCCTCACACAGTCTTCAAGTGGCTAAACAAAACACGAAATCTTAGCAAAGCAATCATGTTTGGGTGAGACTCTCTCTGTTCATCAGTCCTTTCTTCAAAGGTTCAGAACTACAGGTGACAGCCTCAAGGTAAAGCTACTTACAAAGGTCTGCCTTTGACAATGGCTAAGAACACAGCTAAGTTCCTACTAGTCACTGTCAGAAACCCATCATGGGACTACTGGGATTTCATAGACTGTCTGCTGCAGTACTGCAGAACTGTGGCAGCGCTGCTCTTCACCTTGAGGGCTGCTTTATGAAGTAAGAGAAAATAATGTTTAGCCTAGACATTTTGGGAAAGGGTGATCTAAACTACTGTCTACTAACAGAGTTTAGATGCATTCTCTCAACTAATACACACAAGTGGCTGCCAACAGATAAGAGATTTCAGATTTAACTGACGGGGAGCAAGAGTAGGAAGGTAGGCACTCAAATGCGCTCCTAAGAGAGCAAAAGATCAGGATGAGCATGGCACAGCTGGCCAGCTCAGACATAACAGCTCAAAGTACATAAGAATCTGGCTCAGACTCAGTGTAGCAGGAGCATGTACAATAGGAAGAAGTAATGGTACGATACCTCTGCAGATAAGGAGTGCTGTTGAAGTTACACAAACAGAATAAGCAGAAGACAGGATAAGATTAGCAACAGGAGATGGCTTCAGAAAATCTGCAGTTCAGCTAGACAGGAGAATTTGGCTGAGCAGACTGAAAAGCAAAGCAAACCCTGGGATACCACAGTAGCTGCACACAAATCCATTTCTGTTTCCAAAAGGAAAAGACAGTTCATCATTGCCCATATGCAATAAGCATTAGCGTATGACAAGTTGTGCCAGAACTGCAGCTAGTCAAATTATAAGCTTTCAGTATGGAAACGAATTACATTGCAGAAACAGCTTAAGCCTGGTTGCACAGGAGATCCCAAAAGCTTATAACAAAATTCTTCCAGAAGAGAGCTTAAAGAATACGATGGAATCCACTTAAAATACAAAAACTCTACTCTACCTGGAGGAAGGACCAAAGATGGGGCTTGCAGGCACTTGCATGAAGTTAGCAACTTTCCTCACCAATTCTGATAGGAGATAACAATATCACACTAGCATGTCTTGCACATTTTAAGCAGGGCAGAAGCCTGTGAAGGCTTGAATCTACTTCATTGTACTTGAGTGTGTTCTTGCAGTCATGGGTCCTATGGAATGTCTCAGGTCTTAAAGGCTGTGATGGTTTTACCTTGGATGAAACACTCCATATTTAGATCAAGTAAAGCTTCTATACCAGCTGTGTTTCAGATCAGGAAAGGTGCCAGCTGCCGTGGTGGGGAAAGGACAGATGGTGTGTACAACATGCTATACTACCTTATCCAGGACAGCAGGATTCTCCCTGACAGTCACTGCTGGCATCATACCCTGCTGCTTGGCTACTTTTCAGCAGATGAAGGCCAAGTTAGGAGCTAACTATTTCTCCTTCTTAATGGGTGGAACGTCCTAGCTAAGTGCACCAGGAACATTACTTAAGGCTGCTGAACCCTCATTTAAAAGGAGGAAGGATCAGTTGACTGAAGTCTGATGCTAATGCTAGAAAGAGGTAGGCTTTTGAAGTGTCACAGCAGAAGATCCAGCAATCTGTCTCAAGCTGTTATCCTATCAGCAGAAAACCTCCTTGTCATATTAATTAGCATTGTCTTTCTTTCACGGGACTCGGACTTTTTTTGCAGTTGGAAAAGCAAGACTGCAACATCTGTGTTAGTCTGCTTTTACCACAGAAAGAAAAGTATGTCCTGCAGCACCGAGAGGGAAAGGAGATCTGCAGCCACCTGTGTTTCTACCTGTTGGTATAGCTATCATACTCCCAAGCATCTGATATATTGGCTAGTATTATCTGTTTTATATAACAGAGTCTGACTTCAGCGCCAGGACTTAAGCACCAGCTTCACCTTTAGTACACCAAGCAGCTGCCCATCAACTGTTTTAAGTACCTATCTGCATTATCAGAGATCAGCGCAGTCCAAGTCACAGCAGGTACCCAGTGCTTACAAAGCCTTGTTGTCATGGCACCTGTTACTCACAGTACAGTCAATCTGCCATAAATCTGAGCAGTCATACAGCAGACAGAAAGGGAGGCTGCTTCTGGCAGCCAGGCAGATGGTATGGAGGACACGTTTTGTCAAGACATTCTTCACTTCTTAGAGAGCATCCACAAAGATTTCCTCGAGCTTCAAAGCTTTTTCTAAAGTAAAGAGCAAAGATCCTTAGTCTTGGTCCCTCACTTCCTCAGGGCAGTCTCCTCCTCAGGACAGTCTCACAGCTTTGTCACCTGCTGAAGCAGGTCAGGTGAAGGTCCACCAAGGCCTGGATCATAACCTACAGCAGAAATAGAGTGCCATTCAGACCTTCAGGTTAAGTACTAGGTTCTTGTGCACAACTGTAATACCACCACAAGGCAGGCTTTTAATGCATTCCTTAGAAGTTCCTAGAATCTCTCAAGACATCCAAATTTATGGGTACATGAGATCAGAAAGATTCTAACAGCACATGTTTGGTATCCTATAGTGCCAGACAAGTAGGAACTAACTGCCTGTGCTGGAAATGCATGAGCCTTGCCAACTATGCAGGCTGCTCTCTGGTAAGGCTGCTCACATTATTTTGTTGTCTTATGATGTCCAAACACCTTGACCAGTTAGCCTGCCCAGAAACAGATACTAAATCTATCAAAAAGCTCACTTCATCCAAGTTTAAAATCCAACTGAATTTTATAAACTAGAAGTCTGTATGCAAGACTTAAAATTCCTTGGAAAGTTTCCAGGAGTTCTCATCTTCTCCTAGAAGATTTTCCAAGACTCCACTTACAGAGCAGCTTGGATCCACATAAAGTAAAACTTCAGGAGTTTGGTATCCAGTCTTCTGGATGGCAGCCTCCCCCAATGGAGTAATATGCCAGAGAAAGCATCCAGTACTCAAGCCTTAAAGACTAAAAAAGGGTTTAAAATTCCACAGGTATTGTTGTATTGTCAAGTGAAGACCACACGGTTTCCTGCTGAGTTACATGCAGCTAGTGAATACTGCAGCTTCCACAAACTGAATGTTTTCACCTATCCTGCCTTAGCAAGTGTACAGCTTAACCAGACAGTTTTGCTCTCTAAGCAGCAATCCACAAAGGAAGCAGAAGACGTGGCTCAGCTAGGCCTTCCAAGCACACATAAGCTTATCTCTGGAAAGGGCTAGCCTAAAACCACATGATGCTGCATGCCCATTGCTCCCATTCAACAAGTATTATATGACAGTAACAGACATTTAGAAATGTTGCTGTTTGGAGGCAAGTGGTGCACTTAACCCCTAATATCCCTGCCTAACTTAACGACCTTAGGGCCAGGCCTGTACTGCTTCTAGAACTTCACAGCTTCACTTCAGAAGTGTACATTTTCTCCTTGTGTTTCAAGGTGTTCCATTGCTTTTGCCATTCATTTTCCAGAGACATGACCACAGAGTCATTTTAAGGAGACAACAATTCCACACAACAATTGCAGCTGGTTTCTGGAACACTCCTATCTCCATGCCTTCAGTACATGAGAGTAAGTCACAGCAGAATGGCAGCCAGTGACTAAAAAGCTGAAGCGGTTTAGATGTAAACATTCCCAAGGACACTATAAAAGCTTACATTAACTTGGCTTTCACAGATGTGTTCACAAGACGTTCAGTGCTTGTCTTATCCCAGCGAGTTTTGAAAGCAGGTACTTT